CAAACCCCTTTGAATGGACTGCTTAATGCCAAACGGCCTTCGAAGAGTTCAAGTTGTATATATCTTCTCCCTTGGTATTAACAAAAGCTGACCCAGGGGAACATCTTTATATGTACCTTGCTGTGGCCGATCTAGTCGTAAGTTTTGTGTTGCTAAAAGAAGAAGATGGCATCCAGAGGCCTATATATTTTGTGAGTGAAGCCTTGAACGACCTAGAGACTAGGTACACTCTGATGGAGAAAACGGTGTTGGCTCTAATAGCAGCCATCAAACGGCTTGCGCTTTATTTCCAGGCACATCCGATAACCGTATATACAACGCAGCCACTAGCCACCGTCCTGAGAAATCCGATGGCTAGTGGGCGCATCACAAAGTGGAGTCTCCTGATCGGGCAGTATGAGGTGGACTTTAGACCTCGACCCACTATCAAAGGCCAGGTATTGGATGATTTTATAGCAGAATGTACTACTCGGCCTTCGGAGATCGAGACGAAAGGCAGCATGATGGATGAATGGTGGGAAATGTACGTAGATGGTGCATCAAGTGCTAAAGGCTGTGGGGGTGGAGCTGTGATCACATCACCTGAAGGTTTTAAGGCATACTACTCCATCCATTTTGACTTCAAAGTAACCAACAATGAGGCCGAATATGAGGCTCTCATTGCAGGGTTAAAATATGCAAAAGCCCTGGGCGCCGATCGGCTCAAGGTCCGGTCAGACAGCCAGTTGGTGGTCCACCAAGTGAATGGCACGGCCGAAACTAAAGAAGAAAGGATGAAGGCTTACAAGGAACTGATCGAGGAACAAATCGAAAAGTTTGAACATGTAGTGCTCGACCAGATTTCCAGGATAGAAAATCAGGAAGCTGATATCTTATCCAAATTGGAGAATGCAGCTCTTGATGACCATGCACAGGTGATCCCTGCTCAATCCAGCGGTTTGCTCATCGGGAAATCCTAACAACACCAGCAACTATGGTCCTCCAGGTAGAAGCCATCTCTTATGCCATTCCCAGTTGGGTCACGGATATGACCGACTATTTAAAGGACGGGACCCTCCCACAAGACAAAAATTCAGCATACAATATGAAGTGCATTCAGAGGAGGGCATCCATGTTCAAACTGGTGGACGGGCAGTTGTACAAAAAGACATTTGGAGGACCATATCTGAAGTGCCTACCACCTGATCTAGCAGCGGCGGTAATGGAAGAAATTCACGAAGGAATATGTTCCAGCCATCAAGGCCCTAAAACATTGGCAAGAAAGATCATCCTTCAAGGGTACTACTGGCCAACAATCCAACAAGACTGCTTTGCTCATACCAAAAAATGCAAGGTCTGCCAATTGTATGTGTAACACCCCGGTCTCGCAGGCCCCGAGGTAGTTACTCCAGACCTCTAGTACTGTCCCCACAAACCACCACGAGCCTTTACCGCGCACTTTGTCCTCACTCATGCGCGCCCTGAGAAACTTCCCAGGGGGTCACCCATCCCAAGACTACTCCCGTGCAAGCACGCTTAACTTTGGAGTTCTTGGGTGATGAGCTCCCTTAAAAGGAGATGCACCTCTGTTGGTATGAGTAGTACTATTAATCCTCTTATATTAATCTCGGGTATTACAGTATGCACCGGTCCCCGGTCGGCCAGCTACTTTCTACACCCCGATGACAGTTGCCCTTCCGTTCGCCAGGTGGGGGATCGACTTGCTAGGGCCCCTACCTACTGCTCCCGTAGGACTAAAATACATCATCGTCGGGATAGACTATTTCACCAAGTGGGTGGAGGCCGAACCACTGACAAGTATTACAGATTTCAAATGCCAAAAGTTCGTCTGGCAGAATATCATTTGCCGATTCGATCTCCCCGAACAGATCATCACAGATAATGGCAGGCAGTTCGTGAGCAGGAACTTCGAAAACTATTTGGTCAAATGGCAAATCAAACATTCCAGAGCGTCTGTAGCATACCCTCAGGCGAATGGCCAAGTGGAAAACATGAACCGTACCATCATGGATGGTATGAAGAAAAAACTAGAGCATTGTTCCTCCTCATGGCCGGACTAATTAAATTATATCTTGTGGACATACAGAACGACACCCGAACGGCTACCGGAGAGACTTCGTTTGCCCTTACCTACGGATTCCAGGCTAAGGTTCCAACAGAAATTCTGGTCCCCACACATCGAACGGTACATTATGACCCCGGGCGTAATGAGGACAATCTACGGGCCGAAATGCACTTCATAGAGGAAAGGAGGGACTTAGCTGCAATACGAATGAAGGAATATCATAGAGCGACAAGGAGATACTTCAATAAACAAGTGAAAGTTCGTTCGATCGAGGTAGGAGATTTGGTCCTGAAGAATTGGGAAAAGAGCAAACCTCTCGAAGGAGGAAAGATGACACAAAATTGGGAAGGCCCTTACGAGGTCTGCAAAAAATATGCTTCAGGAACGTTCGGTCTGCAATCTACCGAAGGCCGACCGGCAGCGACTTGGAATGTGGACATCTAAGGAAATTTTACCAATAAAAACGGTTGTTGCCACCTCTTGAATTTTATTAAAAAAAAAGAAGAGAGGGAGACATAACTTCCAGAAAGTCTCACCTCAGCTTTTGACATGTATAGTCACTCCAAATAAATGACTTCCGTGTTAAATGTTTAGAGGGAGCCACCACTTCAGCTAAAAAAAAATTTGCCCCCCTTAAATCACGAACGGTAAAGGGCTCAAAACGGCTTGGAGATGGTGTCAGAACAAGTATTGTCAAAGCGAGCGACGTTTGGTAACATGGATTGTTGTCCGGGGAGGCACTGCTTTCAGGAAGTCTCACCTCAGCTTGTTAACACGTAGAATCATTCTGGATGACCGAATGACGAATGGGTTAACAGTTCGGAGGGAGCCGCCATTTTAGCTTAAGTAAGAAATCACCCGATCCAGTGATCTTGCTTACAGTTTTAAAGTGGTCACCTCAAACCCCTAATATGGATGATACGGATCGAGGAAACTCTTCGGAATGCATCGGAATTATGGGTTTGGAAGGGAGAGAGTCTCACCTCAGCTTTTAACACGAAGAATCATTCCGGATGACCGAATGACGAACGTATTAACAGTTTGGAGGGAGCCATCATTTCTGCTAATAGTTTTTGACCCTGTGCTCACAAACGAATAGAGGGACCAAAAAGGCTTGGAGGGATCACCTCAGCTAAAAAAATTTGGCCCTGTGATCACGAATGGGAAAGGGATCAAAACGGCTTGGAGATGGTGTCAGAACAAGTATTGTCAAAACGAGCGACGTTCGGTAACATGGATTGTCGTTCGGGGAGGCACTGCTTTCAGGAAGTCTCACCTCAGCTTGTTAACACATAGAATCATTCCGGATGACCGAATGACGAACGGGTTAACAGTTTGGAGGGAGCCGCCATTTTAGCTCAAGTAATAAATCACCCGATCTAGTGATCTTGCTTACCATTTTAAAGTGGTCACCTCAAACCCCTAATATGGATGATACGGATTGAGGAAACTCTCCGGATTGCATCGGAATTATGGGTTTGGAAGGGAGAGAGTCTCACCTCAGCTTTTAACACGTCGAATCATTCCGGATGGCCGAATGACGAACGTGTTAACAGTTTGGAGGGAGCCATCATTTTAGCTAGCAGAATTTGACTCGTTCAAAACGGTTGGGAGATGATGTCAAAACTATAAGTATGGACGAATCTGAGTAGCGTCCGGAAAGAAAGAAAGAAAGAAAGAACAAGAGAGGCATTTGAAAAAGATAAGATTATGTATAAAATCGAGCTTTATTCTTCGGCACTGCTGGCCGAAAAGTAAAAAGAAAACAAGAATAAGATTACAAAGATGGACTACTCTATTTGATGACTGTCGTTCGGGGAAGATTGAGGTTGAGTGCTGCTGGCCTGTGCTACATCATCAGGGATCGCTTTCTGTCTCATCTCCATAACCCGATCGTAAGTATTCCCGAACAAGTCATCAAATCCCAACTCATCAGGATCGAACGGCTTGGGGAAGCGTTCCATGATCAGGTCAAGGTTCCTGTCTAGAAGCAAATCTTGACTTTGTTTCACAGTTTTCTCCGTCAGGACATCCAAGAAAGATTTCCCTTCGGGCGTGCTATCCAGAAGCTCTATTCCCGACTTGATCGGGTCTTCGCTCTCACGCAAGAATTGGCCCAGATGAGGTCCCAAAAATTGTCGAGCGGTGTTCTGTAAAGCGATATCCAATCCTTTGCTGCGTTGATATTCGATCAAGGCCTGATTGGTGATCTTGGAGGTGTTGGCAGTATATTGCTCGGGAGGATTATTCCCCGTTGATTTATCAAACCGCATCCCAACGGCTTCAGCAACTCTCACCTTGGCTCTGAGATCTCTAACTTCTCGATCACGACGTCGGGCCCTCTCCTCCACCTTAGCCAGATCAGCCTTCGCTTGTTCACCTTCATCAACACGAACTTGCAGATCTGCAGCCAGTTTTCGAGCGGCGGAAAGGAGAACCTGGCTATCTTCCTGATCGTTGGTTATGCGCTTCATCTCCTGTTCGGCAGCCAGGAAGGCCCGGTGATAGTATACTCCGGCCTACAAACAGTAAAAAAGGAAATCAGATAACATATACAAAATCAGAAGAAAATCAAGGGTTTAAAGGGGTTGATGACCGAATCGCACCTTGAGAGTCTCCAAGTGTCCTGCCTCGACCAGGTCTGACCAATGGGTCAGAGTAGAAAAACTGGGTGGAACCTTCACGGAGGTACTGCACCACATAGAGGATGGCATCTGCCCGAACAGGTACCTTCCCTCTGCTTGGGGCCCCAAATTGGAGGATGAGAAGGATGAGGCTACTGCCTTATCTCAGGAGGGGGTCGAGGAGGTGGAGCAGATTTCAAGTCAAACGGCTGCCCAGCCTCAGGCTCATGTTGCCCCTCCTGGTATGTATATTCCTTCTGTTGTGGTTCCCACATGGCTATTTAATTTGTAATGCTTGTCTTGGGGCCTCACTGATGTTGGGCTATTTGTTCTTTGCAGGTTCGTTTAAACATATTTGCTCTTCTAGACGAGGTTCAGAAAAATCTCTCGCAGAAGAAACAACTTGGGTCCCCTCCCAGTGAGTCCTCCTCCTCTTATGAGGAGAGTGGTGGCGATGATGCGAGCCCTGTACTTCATTCTGAAGCTACTGATGATGTGAACGTTGCTCCTACTGGTGGCGAGGCTAGGGCCATAGACGACGGCCCTCTTGAGGATAAGGCGAAAGCTGTCGCAGATGAATTCGAGGCTGGGGATGCTGCCACAGGGGGAATTGCCTCTCCCCAAGATGTTGGTGAGGGTGCCTCTTCGAGCCCCCATCCGAGGAAGTCTTCCCCCAATGAGGAGGAAGTTGTGGTCGGGGAGAGCACTGGGGCCGTGGATATGGATGTCGACGTCTCCGATGCCATTCCCCAGAACTATACTGAGCCTGCTACCATACCCCTCTCCTCCCAACCAAATGTGGTGATTGTGGAGAGTGAGAGTGAAGGTGAGGAACTGCGGCACGAGCAGGCCCATCTGTCCCCTGGAGGCGGTGGGGCCATTCCAACGGCAGATCTGCATGTGAAGGAGGGCGGTGAGGACGGTCCTTCTAGTCACCAAGACGCTGATCGCCCCATTTTTCCCAGTTGCCGCTCATATCCTTATCCGAATAACCAGTGGTTCAAGTACCGCATGGATCGGGACCACAGCTTCGTCGGTGGAACTGTGCATAGCATGGATTTTCTCTCGCAGATCCAGCCTTATGTGGATGATTACATTCTGAGCCGGATGACCACCCGGGAAATTGCCCAGGATGCTGCTAACTCCTGTCTTAAGGTCAGTGGTTCTAAACTTTGTATGTTGCTTCTTTTGCCATATTCTTTGGCTATTGCCTGACCGTATATTCTTGTTTTCAGTCTGCCTTCATCTGCCATGAGCTTGGTCGTAGGGCTGATGATGCGGAGCACCGGGCTCGCCAGGCCGGAAGAAGAGAGGCTGGTATTCTCTACACCAGGTCCTTTGTTGAGCAAGCTCTTAAGATCTCTGAGAGGCGTGCCGATGAGTTGGAGGCCACTGCTGACCGGTTCCTAAAACAGACTGCGCAGTTTAGTGAGATGCTTGATGAATTTACCGCGAGGGCTCTGGGTGCCGAGCAGCAGGTGTTCGAACTCGAGGCTGAGCTGGCAGAGAGTAAGCGCCAATTTGAGAACCTCAAGGGGACAGCGGATGCGGCTGTGAAATCCCTGGTTGAAGCCGAGGAGAATGCCATGGCCTCAGAAATCAAAGCCCAGAAGGCTGAGCACATGGCTCTTGGTGCTGAAGAAGAGCTTAGGGTTTACCAAGCCATTCACAAGGAGATGACCGATATCGCCGAGAGCACCGTTGCTGAAAATAAGGCTCTTGAGAGATCTGTGATCGAGATGACCGGCCACGCCAACCGCTTAGCTCGAGAGAATGAGCAGTTGCAAGAGAATGCCGTTGGCTGGCAACGGCGCTATGATGAGCTGGAGGCCGCCCTTAGAGAGTCCCTGGTGCTGGACGGGCTTAAGGGGATCAAGTTCATGTAGCTGGAAATGGGGGTCCAGGCTCTGAAAGATTCTGCCGCCACTTTTGCCTCAGAACACAGCCAGATCCTAGAAGGGAACATGACCGCACATGCTGCCGAGCTCGCAAAAGCAAAAGCTTCCGGAGCTGATGAGTTCAAGGCTTCGTGTTCGGGTGATTCTCCCCCTCCTGACTCTGTTGCTTGGTTGCACGGTGTGATGAGCCAACACGTGAATAGTTGGTTGGCGACCGCAGAAGGCCTGGAATTCCTGGGAAAACAGTTGACACCATCCCTGGAGTATGGGAAGTATTTGATGCAGAAAGGTATTGATGATCAGCTCCGAGAGACTCTGCCTGGTTTTACTTATAAGAAATATAAGCTTCCCCGACCCATAAAGCATCCAGAGATTGCCCCTGGCCAGCAAATTCAGTATTCTTTGACTACTCAGGCGCAGCCAGCTGAGGCCGAGGCTGACGAAGAGGTGGAGCAAGAGAAGAAAAAGAAAAGGAAGAGGAAAGAGTAGATTCCCCCTCCCATTTATCTTTTTGCATGTCTGGATGATGGGCCGTTGTTATAAACATCCTTGAAACACCTTTTGACAATCGCACTGTGTATGAAATGTCTATTTATCTGCAGTTTTCTGTGTCTGTCGTGCTTTGCATATTTGAGTCGTATGTTGCACAGGTTATGCTGAGTGGGGATGGGTCATGAATGGCCTGTCCTCCTTTAGCTTTGAGCTCAGTGTATGTTTGCTGAATGGCAGCAATTGTCCCTAGCAGAGGTTGTATAGCCAGCCCTGCTTAGGTGAGGCATTGTTGGTTCTATGTTGTTTTCAGTAGCACGGAACTTACCTTTGTCTAATTCGTAGTCATGGATTTTCATGTGTCCATGTTGGATTCTGCATGTTGCATGTTTGTGCAGTAATGGACTCTCAAGGAGCCATTACTGGACAGTTTGCCAGTAACGTTGATCATTACTGTTGGAGCTTTCACATGAGCTTTTAACATTGTCTTTGTTTTGGAGCTTTGGGTTGTGAGATTCCTTTGCAGCTGAAAACTTGCTTGTCTGTTGTCCTGTTCTTGATAAAGCTCTTTGAGACTAGTTTTTCCTTAGGAAAATAGTTTGAAAATTTTTCTTTGGTTTATTTTTTAATCATAATGTAAGGTTAACAGGTGCGTTGAACAGGTGAGGTGACTTCAGTTTTCGAAGTCCTCCTCTGTTAACTGATCTGAGCCCGTGCTAATAAGAGCAATTGCTCAGCCTGTGATGAGAATGTTTTAGCAGAGTTGCAGCAATTGCTTCACTTGCTGTGAGTGACTGTCACAAAGGTATTTTATTTTGTAATATATCCCAAATAGCTGTAATATGTAAGTAGAACCTGGGAAGTAGGCTGGCTGCTCGTCGCCTGAGGACGTAGTCCCCCACTTGGAACTCCCGACCTCGGACTCGTGCATCGTAATAGCTTTTGACCTGACGTCTGTAGTTCTCCGACCTCAGGAATGCGTTCTCCCTTCTTTCACCAATGAAGTTGAGGTCAACTCGCATGTTCTGCTCGTTTTGTTCGGGGTGGTATGACAGGACCCGCGGGGTCAGGATTGTGACCTCCGTAGGGGCTTTGGCTTCAAAGCCATAGCAGAGTGAAAATGGAGTCTCACGCGTTGCTCTGCGGGAGTTGTTTTGTAGGCCCACAGAATGTTGTGGAGCTCTTCCACCCAGCCCCCGCCTTCGTCTGTGAGCTTCTTTTTTAAGCCCGTTAGAATGGTGCGGTTGGCATTTTCGACCTATCCGTTGCTCTGTGGGTAGGAGACGGAGGCTGCGGTGTGTTTGATTCCCCAGCTGGCCAGCATGTCCTGGAAGCTTTTGGCCTCAAACTGAGTGCCATTGTCCGTGATGAGCTATTGTGGCACGCCGAAGCGAATGAGGATATTCTTGTGGACGAACCTCCTACATTGCGCCTCTGTTATGCTGGCCAGTGGTTCCGCTTCTATCCATTTGGTGAAATAGTCAATGGCGACTATGATCCATCTGCAGTTGCCAGTACCTCGAGGAAGCTGTCCCACGAGGTCTACGCCCCATCTGGAAAATGGGATTGTCGTGCTAAAGGGGGCGTAGTTTACTGCTGGGCGTCCCGGGGCATTCTGGAATTGTTGGCATGCATTGCAAGTGCGGGCCATCCGAGCGCAGTCTTTGGCAATGGTGGGCCAGAAATACCCTTGTAAGAGGAGCTTTCTGGACATAGTGTGGGGGCCCTGGTGTGCAGAGCAGACCCCGACATGCACCTCCTCCATGGCTAGCTTGGCCTCGCTGTCGTTGAGGCATCGTAGAAGCGTACCATTGTAAGATCTTTTATATAACATGCCATCAAGGAGGGTGTAGGTCGGAGCTCGGAGCTTGACAATTCTGGCCTCGGCCTCATCCTGGGGCAGTTGCCCGTTGTCAATGTATTCCTTCAGGTCAGTTCTCCAGTCCCTTGGGATGGCCTGTACCTGATGTATGAGGGTCTGTTGTATGCTTGGTGTCGATACCTCCTCCACCTGAGCTATCTTGGAGATATATTCAGGCGTGTCCGAGCTCAGCTTGGATAGAATATCAGCTTCCTGATTCTGAGCCCGTGGTATCTGCAGGATTTCATACAGTTGGAAGGTTCCGAGGAGTTCCAGCGCAGCAGCTTTATATTCCTTCATCCGAGCCTCCTTTGCTTCACAGGAGTCGTTAATTTGCCCGACTACGAGCCTCGAATCGCACTTGATCCTCAGCTTTCCCGCCAGCATATTAGCTGCAAGGCGTAAGCCAGATAATAAGGCTTAATATTCTGCCTCATTGTTGGAGACTTTGAACGCGAAACGTATAACATAATAAGCTCGGAAGCCCTCGGGGGTGATGAGTACGACACCCTCCCCCCCCCCCCCCCCCCCCCGCAGGCTTTGGTGGTTGAAGAGCCATCGGTGAGCAGAGTCCACCAGCCATCCTCCTCAGCAGAGGTGACCGGGGTGAGATCCTGGCGATGCATTCTGCTATGAAGTTAACGAGTGCTTGGCCTTTGATGGTCGACCTCGGTTTTATCTCGATCTGGTACTGGCTCAGGAAAACAACCCATTTGACCATTCTGGCTGAGCTCGTTAGGCTCTACATAAGTTGGCCCAGCGGATGGTGTGTGAGAACTTGGACGGCGTGAGCCTGAAAATAGTGAGTCAAGCACTTCACGGTCCATACTACTGCAAGTACAGTCTTCTCTACTGGGGAGTACCGGAGCTCGGCATCGCGCAGCGTTTTGCTTATGTAGTAGATGGGCTTTTGAGTTCCATCCTCTTCACGAATTAGGACCGAACTCACGCCCTTGTGGCTGACGCCAAGGTAGAGGTATAGTATTTCCCCATGCTCAGGTTTTGATAATACTGGCGGAGAGACCAGGTATCGCTTGAGGTCATCGAATGCTGTCTGGCACTCGGGAGTCCACTGAAATTTTGTAGACTTCCTCATGATTTGGAAGAAAGACAGTGCACACTCAGCTGATTTTGAAAGGAATCGGTTGAGGGCCGCCAATTTCCCAATCAACCTCTGGACTTCTTAGACATTTTGGGGTGGCTCCATTGTTGAGTATGGCCTGCACCTTCTTCGGGTTTGGTTCTATTCCACACCGACTGATCATATAGCCCATGAATTTGCCCCCTTGAACTGCAAATGTGCACTTCTTAGGGTTTAGCCGGAGGTTGATCTTGTTCATGATCTTGAAAATCTCCTCGAGATCCTCAGCATGCGTGCTGGCTTTGCGGCTTTTGACTATCATTTCATCCACATATGCTTCCATAGTTCTGCCGAGCACAACTTTGAAGACCATGGCCACCATGTGTGTGTAGGTGGCGCCTGAGTTCTTGAGCCCAAACGCCATGACCAGATAGCAGAAGATGCCCTTTGGAGTCATGAATGCCGTCTTCGGGGCGTCGAGTTCGTTCATGAAAATCCGGTGGTAGCCCCGGAAGGCGTCCAGGAAGCTCATGAGCTCGCAGCCGGCTGTTTCATCGACGAGTTGATCGATGTTCGGCAGTGGGAATGGATCCATCGGGCAAGCCTTGTTGAGGTCAGTATAATCGACGCACATACGAAATGTTGGCGGTTTGGGTGCCAGGACAACATTCGCTAGCCAATCCGGGTATTCGAATTCGGCGATGTAATTTATGCTAAGGAGCATAGTCATCTCAGCCTTGACAAATTCCCTTCTATCCGTAGACAGGTACCGCTTGCGCTGTTTGATAGGCGTCGCATTTGGGTCCACAGATAGCTTGTGCGTGATTATATCACGACTAATCCCCGACATTTCATCGGGGCCCAGGGCGAAAATGACCTTGTACTTAACAAGAACAGAATGACACTCTCCAGTGCGCCTACAGGCTCAGCTATGGCAGTTTCCTCCTCAAGCGCAACCTGTGAAATAGCATTGATGCGCATGTCCCTGGCTGCCATTCGCCTTGTCATCTTCATGTAGCAGGATTTGGCTACTTTCTGGCTACCCCTCCAATAGCCGACCCCGATCTCAGTCGGGAATTTCATGCAGAGGTGCCGCATGGAAATTACTGCTTCCAAGTCCTCCAATGTTGGCCTTCCAAGTATGACATTGTGGGCGCACTCGAGTCGCACCACCACAAACTCCACAGGGATCCTAGAATGGTGGGATCCATCCCCGAATCTAAGGGTAAGCTCAATAGTGCCCTCGGCGTCTATGGAGTCACCAGTAAACCCGGAGAGAGGAGTTCGGATGGGCCTCAGAGAGTTGAGGTAGAGGTCCAGCTCGTAAAATGTGTGGATATACATAATGTTGACAGAGGAGTCAATGTCAATGTAGGCGCGGTGGATGATGGCCGCGTCCACCTCGCATTTCACCACCAGAGCATCCCTGTGGGGAGAAGGGAAGTCCGGCAGATCATGGTCGGTGAACGAGATCACGTCTGACCTCGCTCTCTTGGCAGCAGGTGGGGGGTTTGTGATCTCCCCCACGTAGAGCTTGGTGTTCCACTTCTTTCTTTGTGAGGCTGTATCACCGCCCGTGTTACCTCCGACGATCATCCAGACCTCATGTCGGCGCTGCTGATTGCGCCTGTTATCCTCGACCGAATCATCGTCGGAGATCAGCCCAATGTCTTTCTTCCTCGGGGAGCAGTCTGGTTCCCGCTCCTCATCTCGGGATATGCGCTCATGGCCCCGCTTCTGGCCGGATTTGGGTTTCCGGAAAACCGTGTCAGGTAGCCCCGGCTGATTAATTTCTCGATTTCCAGTTTCAGCGTGTGGCATTCCTCCGTTGTGTGGCCATGAAACCTGTGAAACTTGCAGTAGGGGCCTGATTTGTCCCCCTGCTGGATTTCGTTGTTTCGTGTGTCCCGAACTACCAAGCCTTCCTGATCAGCCGCTTCCAGAATATGGCTGACAGAATGGGTCAGCGAGGTCAGGACTTTGGGCGCCATCAAATTGGGGCTGTTCCAGGGGCGTCTGGTTCTGAAGTTGCCCCTGCCCCGGTGCCTGTCACTGTCATCACGAGGTTTTTCTTCCCGTGGTTGTTTTGGTTTCTCGTGCAGCTTCTGTTACTGCTTTTGGGACTTAGAAGCATTTCTGTGCCTTTTTGCGGCTGTGCACTTCCTCCGCTAAGGCATAATTCTGCCCGCGGTGGAGCGCCCGCTGATAGACCCGCGAGGGGTCAATGATAAGGCTCCTAGAGAAGCCACCAGCCCATAGGACCTCCTGCAACATGGCTAGACGGGTGTTGTCGTCAGCCCTATAGACCTTAGAGGTCTCTTCGTTCCATCGTTCGAGAAATTTTCCCAAATGCTCATCTCTGCCCTGCTTCACAGACAGCAAGCAGGAGAAGTGTTTCTTCGTCCTTGCCCTTGCAGCAAAATGGGCAAGGAAGCGTGTAGCTAGTTCTCTCCATGAATCAATGGACTCATCGGGGAGATCATTGAACCAGTCATATGCCTCCTCCTCTAAGGTGGAGGGAAACATACGGCAGATGTACTCATTGCTAGCGCTCAACATGTACATGCCGGACTGGTAACGAGTGTAGTGCTCCTGGGGATCAGTGTTACCCTCATAGAGTTGAATGTTGGCCCCCTTATACTTTGGGGGTATAGGGGCCTGCATGATCCGTGTGGTAAAGGGGGTAGCAGTCCTTACCCTCACTGTGGTAGGCTCCTGATTGACATGGGCCTGGAGTTGTTGGACCTGGAGCGCTATCGCTTCCAGTTGAGCCACACGCGTCGTCCGCTGGGGCGGTGGCGGAGGGGTTGTTGTTACTGACGCAACCTGCAACTCATTGACTTGTTGAGTCAGGAGGCGAATCTGTTCCTCTCTGGGGTCCACCTGGCGTTGGCGCCATGGTGGAGATCCACCCTGCCGCCTTGGCGGTGAGAGCCTTGGCTGACGCAGGGGTTGTTGCTGCTGTTGTTGGCCCGACGGTGAAGCGCACGGTTGCCTTGGGGGAGAAGGCATTTGCTGGTGGCGTGGGGGTGAATCTAGGGGAATGATTGCCCATAAACCTCTCCAATTAGGACTTTAGAGTGCCCCGCTTTAGAAAATTTGTATTAGAAATTTTCTTTGTAAAGTTTCCTTAGAATAGTCGACTGACAGGAGACCTCCTCACAGAAGACCCTTTGTTAGACTTAGTCTGGACAGAAGACCCTTGGCTCTCTGTTGGTTCATGTCCAGACAGAAGACCTCCTGCTTCTCTGTTGGACTTCACTAGAACAGAAGCTTTCAAGACCCTCTATTAGCTCGCATCTTGACAAGAGACCTAAGGACCCTCTGGTAGCTTATCCCAACAGAAGTGCTCGAGACCCTCTCTCGTTGACCTTCTGCTAAAGATACCAGAAGGCCTAACACTTAGAGATATTCCATGAATCTATCTTAGCTGGTGAAACCAACGGAAGATTCCTTTAACGGCTAGAAGACTTGAACGGAAAAGCTACAGTACGCGCATTAAATACACATTTAATGCACCCCGTACCATGAAGAGTAAAAGCTGATGATTGGGCGACATTCCATGATATTTCAGGATATCTTTATCCCAAAATAGCAACTCGCCAACTTTACCGGGTCCTACTGGTCAAGTCAACTGTTCGCGCATTTAATGCAGTTGTCGTCCTCCTCCAACGGGAAGACAACCCCAGTATAAAAGATACTACTCGAAGAACAACCGGATAACTTTTTTGCTAGAACTTTGAAAGAACTCAACCCATTCAAAAGCTTTCTTGAGATTCAAACTCCATCTCCATCAACAAGAAAAGCCTCTGTTGGAAACATTATATTTTCTCATTTCACATTCCAACAAGAGTAAAAGTTCCAACTATTCTTCAACACTTCAAGCACTTCAACTACATATTCTTTGTAACGAAGCAAGTTGGAAAACCCCTGTTCTTACAAGAATTCTTCTCTAAAGTGAAGGACGTCCAAGTAACTGGAGTAGTGAAGTGGTAATACTTCAAGGAAGCTCAGTGAAAGGACCAGTCTTAAAGGAAGCCAAGAAGAGCATCCCAGGAGACATCTAGGCTTGAAGAAGACGTGGAGAGCTTCTTAAGTGCTAGGACTAAGGCTTTGTAATTGGATTTTTTACAAGCTTAGTGGAACAATGGATTAGAGGAACGAGTTGTTCCTTGAACCACTATAAAAATCCCTAGTGTCATTTACTTACTGCTTTTATTTCTTGCTATTACTTTAAATTGTTAACCTCTAGAGATTTGGTCTATGTGTTCAGCAGAACCCTTTCTGTGAGTTAACAGAAGGCCTACTGCCTTTGTTTATCTTAGAGGCTATCCGGACAGAACACCTACCAGAAGACCATCCGCTGCTAGTCTGTTCTACCAACAGAACAGGCTATTCTGTTAAATCTGGTACTTAGCTTGAAAAAGTTAAAAACCAGTACAGTCTATTCACCCCCTCTAGACTGTACCCAGTACAACCGGGACCAATAAGTGGTATCAGAGCTTCCTTGTTCTAGTAATCTTTTAGGTTATTTACTGAACAAAGATCCATTTGTTTTCTTTCTGCCTCTATTTTAATCTCTTATTATGGATCACTCTCTTTCCAAGAATCTTATGTTTTCAGATCTTAAGTTTGATGATTGGAAGATCCGGATGAAGGCACATCTCTGTGCTCTTCATGATAAGATGTGGGAAGTACTTGACATAGGGCCATTCATCAACTTACAGAAGGTCAACCCTAAGCATGCTATTGACAACAACGGCCTCAGATGATTAACAAGGCCAAATCTAAGTGGACCACTAAAGAGAGGAGAAAATACAATCTGGACAACATTGCAAAGGACATCCTCTACAAGTCCATTGATGACAGATACTTCAACAGAATAAAGAAGTGCAAGACTGCCAAAGAAATCTGGGATACGCTTGAGCTCATTGGAGTAGGTGATGAGCAAGAGAAGGACAACAAACTAACCATTGCCAACAAGAAGTTTGATGGCTTCAAACTTCTCCCTGGTGAAAGCATCTCCAAGATGTATGACAGACTCCTTACTCTCACTGGAGAAATCTCTGAACTTGGCAAGGAACTCACCACCAAGGATATCAATCTCAAAGTGTTGAGAGGTTTACCCTCAGCATGGAAAATGAAGGTGGTTGTTGTTCAAGCCAGCAAGGATGTAAAGACCTATCCTACAGACAAGCTCATCTCAGACCTTAAAGCTCATGAGCTCGAGATGATTGAAGAAAAAGAAGATGTACCTGAGGAGAGGACCACCACAACCCTCACAACCAGTACATCTAAGGTAAATGATTTTGACCCTTCAATACTTTTATCTGACGAATATATGGATGCTTTTGCTAGAAGATTCAAGAAGTTCATGAAGAACCCCAAAGATGGAAGAAGTCCATCTGCCAGCAGAAAACCATTCCAGAAGACCAAATCGTCATAAAACTGTGGAGAGCTTCTTTGCTACAACTGCAGACATCCAGGACACTTCAAGGCCAACTGTCCTAATACCAGAGTGTCTAAGAGACAAGGACATGATGGAGAAAAGAAGTATGAAGAAAGCGGTAGAAGAAGGAAAGCTCTCGTCACAGAACAACTCGAGAAAGATCCCCTTTCTGAGACAGAATCCAGTTCTGACTCTGATTCTGAGGAGGCCTTCTGTTGCTTGGATACTGAAACAGAAGACCTATGCCTCATGGCCCAATCTGATGATGAGGTAACCTCCTCTTCTAACTCTCGTTTTTTTCGGTAGGAACAACTTTAAATGATGATGCAATGTCATCATTGTGGGAATAATTTAGAACTATTCAGACCACTTATTCTTTAGTCAAAGAAGAAAATAGTAAGCTAAATGTTGAAATCCCTAACTTAAGAAAAAAGACTGAGGTAAAAATCAATCTCTTGATTGAGGAAAGGGATGAACTTGAAGCTGAAAATGTTTCTCTTCTAGATAGAATAAGAGAAATTAAACATTTTGAGGTCAGATACAATAGCCTTATGAAAATGCAAACTTCTCTAAAGGTTGTTGATATTGATCAAATGCTTTCTCCCGTTTCTGGTCTTGGATATGTTGCAACAGAATCCGCTGAGCCTTCTGTAAGACCTAGCACCAAAGTTGTTAAGGTTAATAAGGTCATAGAGCCATGGATTTCTAGCCCCATTTGCCATGCTGGTATATCTGGCACTAAGGTCTATCATGAGGAAGTTAGACCAGAAAAAGGAAAGATAAAGGTTCAACAGAAACCCATTTTGAAAATTAATGAACATGGCAGAAAACCTAACAACATAAGAGGTTTTCAGAAAAATCAAAGGCAAACCCAAAACAGACAACCTCATGATAACCGTGCTAGAAATGATCACCAAAAAGGCAGGTATCAAGAGAAAGTTAACTTTAGGCTGAAGAGGTTAGTTGGTCAACTTCAGAAGCCCAAAGCTAACCGCCCTCTGCTTTTGATAGTATATGGGACTTCTTTCCAACCAAGAAAGCTATGCAAAAATATGCAAACAGGAAGCATGACCCTCACAAGCATCTGCCCAAAGTGAATCACACTTCAGTTTACTATGACTACCAGGTAGACAATGGGTACCACCCACAAAGGTTTCACTTGATGAGACTAAAGTGGTACCAACTACCAAGACTCCATGACCCCTTAGAACCCAACATTGCTTGGGTACCTAAATCTTTCTTTTAATTCTGCAGGAACAGTGTGCTGGAGCTATCTCTAAACAATAATGATTTATTGATAGTGGATGCTCCAGGCACATGACAGGTGACAGAAGTTGCCTAGCTGAGTTCCAGTAATGCAAAGAACCAGATAATCATTGATGATGTCTCATATGTCAAAGGCTTGAAGTTCAACCTACTAAGTGCTAGCCAATTCTGTGATAAAGGCTACACTGTTGAATTCACAAAGGACTTCTGTTATGTGAAGCATGAGACAACAAAGGAAGTGGTTCTTACAGCAACAAGGAAGAAGAATATCTATGTGGTTGATTGGAAAACTGCAAAAGATGGAGTATGCCTGATAGCCAAGGGAGATTCAAAACTAAGCTGGGGCTGACACAAGAAGCTTAGCATTTTGAATTTCAAAACAATCAACAAATTGGCAAGAGAACACATTGTAGATGGACTGCCAGACATAGTGTACAAGAAAGAGACCCTCTGCAGCTCATGCCAGAAGGTAAAACAAGTGAAAAACACTTTCAAACCCATTGCTGTATATCTTTCCACTAGTCCTTTAAATCTCATTCACATGGACTTATTTGGACCAGTTGAGACTCCAAGTGTTGGTGGCAAGAAATATACACTAGTCATGGTGGATGACTACTCACTACTACATTTTCAGGTCTTTTGTAACAACAGAATTCGTTACATTTAGTCCAAAAAACTGTTACATTCGACTTATTGTAATAGTTTCTCGTCGTTACATTCGCTCGTGTTGCATTTGTTCTAATGTAACGGCTTGTAACGAAATTTATGACCAACTGTAATGGTCCTCACAAGATGGCATAAATGTTACAACAGATCGAGTAGAAAGGTAACAGTATGTAACATGCACAGTGGTAACGGTTATGAAAATACGTTTGCCCTGATTAATTGTGTAATGTAACGGTTTATGTATTACCACACATGCAGCCAGGATGTTTTTACACACCTATAGCCATGAATGTAACTACCTGTCCATTTAATTATAATTACATACAAAAGTAAAATAAATGTTGGCCCCAACATCAAATCCATTACATTACAAACCAAACATCTTAAGTTGTACAAAAGCATTCAAAAGTTAAAGATCCATCAAGTTCAAAACAATTCCAATGTAACCAAAGTAGCTATGTAAAAAGCGCTTTGACAGAGACATGAGTTTGATAAGTAGCAAAATGTTGAACATCATGTTCACAAAACAAAAGTGATGGAGTATATGGCCCGGGAATACCCGGCCCACAGACTCCTACTACACCAATGAAGGCCCAACAGGCCCAGGAGGCCCAACAGGCCCGAATCACGGCGCCCAGAGTACCAAGCAGCCCACAATACGCACCAGGGGTGCCTTCGCCCCCCTGGCCGAAGGCTCCAAACTATCACAGCATGGATGTTTCGAACAAACAGAGGAACTGGGAGAAAACAGCGAAAACAGTAGCCCTCGGCACTGTGAGCCCTCGGCACTCAGGGCCCCTCAGCACTAAGAGCCCTCGGCTAGTCCTCTCCAGCCGAGGGCACCACTCCCGACATGATATCCGCCTCACATGCGTGCAGATCACCGTACCCTGCACAGGCGTCCCATCCAACAGCCGCATTAAATGCGGCCACATGCGGCTGCCAACGCCAACCAGTTGAGGTGACCCCTCGGCCAATAGGCGCTTGACACGTGTCCCTGCCCGGCATTTATTGCTACTATAAATAGCACCCCATTTCCCCATTTGTAACCACGACATTGATACTGAATACACTCTCTCTCTTATTTACTCGTGCTCTGACTTCTCTCTAAGTTATTCTCAGCAATAACCCTTCGGATATACACCCCCGGGTAGACTATCCATCATTTGGTGCTCTCGTTGAGAGGTCGAACAATCAAGTAAGAAACCCTCCCCCTCGACAAAACACAAAACACCTAGCTAAAATGGTGAGAACAACACGTGCCAACTCAAAAAACGTAGAGGACAAGAACCTGGCCCTCGGCGACGTCAACGCCTCCGAAGCCTCTCACAGGGCTCCCGAGGGCGGTGTCATCGCTGGGCTGGAACAGGCGGCTGTCGACCTACACCTTCAGATCCAACAAAATGCCCCCGATGCCCGCCTCGGCATCGAGGCCAAGAAGAAAAACCGGAGCGATGACCAAGTCAGCCCTCCGGTTCTCACCATCGACGTGCAATCGGCGCTCTCCGCCTTCATCCAAACGCTCACTCAGAACCCGGGTGCCTTCGGCACCCTAGCTTCGGCTCACCCCCAGGTTGGGGAAAACATCATACTCCCCCCTCCGCCACACCCCTTCGGAAATCCCACCCCTTGGGTGAGGAACGACGAAGGGGTAGTGGCCCAGGACACGTCCTCCCAGGAAGTACAGTCCCGGGATCGCCACAATGACAACAGGGAGAGGCCCCGCACTTCCGCCCTCAACCGGCTCGGAGGAGGGCCAGACCGCCGAGGGGTCCAAGACCGCCTCGGAGGAAAGGCACTCCAAAGGCCCCAGGAAAGTGGAGGGTCTGTCTCGAGGGCAGACGAGGAGCGTCCCCCTCAGGACAAGGGCAAGGCACCCCTCCATGCCAATGATGCTCGCCACCAAATCAACCAGGCCCACTCGGCCCGGGTTCGTTCGCAGGGGGCGGAGACCCTCCCGAAGGATCCCCGGGACGAGATTATTGCGGCCCTCCAACGCCGGCTTGACGAAATGGAGTCCAACAAAGCTCACGCCACCACCTCCACCCCTCATTCAGATCTCAAATACGAGGCCATGATGGCCAAAATGGAGGAGTTACAGAAGAAGGTGGCCGAGGGCTCCGGGGAACCCGTCATCCAGCTCCGGACTCGGACGCCATTCACCCCAAGGGTATTGGCGGCCCGGATCCCGGAGAAATACCGAGGGCAACACATACAGCCCTACAACGGGAAAACGGACCCCCAGGAACACTACAGCAAATACCAGAACAACATGATGATGGTGGGGACGTCAGACGAATATTTGTGTCGATGGTTCCTCTCCACCTTAGAGGGACCGGCATACGAATGGTTCAACAGGCTGCCCGAGGGCTGCATTGATTCGTGGCAAGAACTCGCCCATCGATTCTTGACACAATTTGCCGGGAGGCGTCGCACGAGGAAGCACTTCTCCCACCTCCTAACCATACGCCAAAAGAGGGATGAGACCCTTCGGGACTTCCTGGAGCGCTGGAGGACGGAGGCCGACAAGGTCGACGGTGCTGATGACGGGACCCTCCTGGCCCTCCTACAAACCGTCCTCCGCACCGACAACTTTTCAAGGAGCCTCATCATTGAACCCCCCCGCGATTACATAAGGGCTTTGCAGCGGGGGGACCGATATGCTGAGGCCGAGGAGGTGGAAAAATATCATCAGCATCCAGATCAGCAGCCCCCGAGGGCTGACAACAAAAACAACCAAGGGCCGGAGGCTCCTCCGAATCACCCCAAACCTTTAGGACCCTCTGATGACCGCCCTCGGCAAGGCCAAGCCAAGCCCGGGGGAGGTTATAAGAGCAACCCTAAGACTTGGGCACAGCCCATTCTCCTGGACCGCCCTCGGACACCTTTGACGCACCCTGTCAGCATCATCCTCGATTTTGCCGAAGAGAGGGGTCTCGTTGAGCGCGACTCTCGCGCACCCCCGGAGGTACACGCTATCAACCCTCAGTTCCCCTACTGTCGCTTCCATCGGCACCAGGGGCACAGGACCGATGACTGCCATCAGCTAAATACGGCCATCGAGAGGTTAATACAAGCAGGGCACCTGTCCCAATTTGTTCAGAGCCCTCGGCAGGAGGGACCTTCTCATCAGGGGCCTCCCCGAGGGCACCACACGAAGGTAAATGCTTGGGTAAACCCGAATACCATCCCCCTCGGCAAGAAGAGGGAGATTGGAAACTTGGAAGAAGAGGAGGAGGAATACCCCCACTACCAGGAGAAAAAACGCCACATCCTCATGATCACCGGTGGCAATACGGGGGGCGATTCCACCAGCCAGCGAAAGAAGTGGGCTCAAT